CCGCGGAGTCTGCAGACATTTCGGGTATTTCGCCATATTAAACCTAATTACGTATGTACTTCCCGTTCTGACCCCTCTACCTTACGCTATTTTTTTGTATAAACTCCGGAAATTCAGAGTTTTACTCGTATATCATGCCTTTATTGCTTCATATGACAGCCCTTACCGGGTTTAACGATCTCTTAAAACGTCGTTTTTGTACGCATGAAGTACCAAATGGAATTTCAAATTGGTTAACAAGAATTTTATGTAGTACCAAAAAGAAGTTTTTTTTTCTGATCGTTCGCGAAAATTGAAATTCGGATTACGTTCTGTCAGGAACTGCATACAACTGATTTTTCACAATATCAAAATCACGGTTTCACTGTCAGCGTAATTTAAAAATATTGAAATTCAAATTTCTGTTTATCTCTTTTACGTCGAGTTAGAAATCCTTTTTTTATCTATTCCAGATATTAAATTTTGACGGTTTCACAATTTTTATTTTTAAGACACATCTTAAACCGTATCAGTGAAGAATAACCGCCGGGGATGATTCAGCAGATCGGGGGCGGGGTTGGGTGTTTGATTTATGAACGCGGGAATCGAATGGGTTTGGTGAAAAAAAAGTGCAAACAAAACGAGGGTAAAGTCACGTACCGGGCCAATGACAGCTTGTAAATCGCGCCTGGCGTCCGGATTTTCGAAACGGGTCAATGAATATTCAAAAAGCTTCGGGCTTCGCGGCAGCTTTCCCGACGGTTAACGCGTGGCAACGCCGCTTTGTTCTCCAAAAAATCCGTGCGGATTCAGAAAAATTACGTCTAGGACAAAAGGATCCCCGCCTGAATAAGCTCTCTACTGCAAATAACCCATTTATCGAATCGGAATAAAGAAAATTTACGAAAAATGGCACTATTTAATAGATATCCGGGATCATTTTCTTTAATGTATTGTTGGAGAATTAATGTAGCTAGTGACACATCTGGGATTTGTAAATATTATTTATTTTTAAGTTGGTATTAAACAAAAAAATGTGACAAAACAAGATGTAAAGGGAACTGTATTAACTTCTAGATGTTAAAGCTAGTGGTGAATAATGTCAAGAGTTGACATAGATAAAGGTATATAGAATGTGCAAAAAGAAAATAAAAAGTAATATATAAGTAGATTAGACACTGCAAATTGAAGATTACATACCTCTAATATAAGACTAGATACTACTTGTAGAAGATTAGAAACTGATATTACTAACTAAAGACTAGATACTTCTAAAAGAAGTGCACCTACTGCTGGTAGAAGTCTAGAAACTGCTACCAGAAGTCTAGATATTGTTGGCAGAAAACTAGATACTGGTAATTGAAGACTATATTCCCCTTACAGAAGTTATTGCTGTTAGTAGACTAGATATTGCTAATTAAAGACGAGATAGTTGTAATATACGACTAGATAGTTTGCAAAGGATTAGAAACTGCTCACAGAAGTCTAGAAACTGCTAGTAAAGTGTCGATACTGCTGGCAGAAAACTATATTCTACACTAATTGAGGACTACTTTTTTTTTACAGAAGTTACTGCCGTTAAAGGACTAAATATTGCTAATTACAGACTATATACTTCCAAAAGAAGTGTAGCTACTGCTGGCAGAATTCTACAAACTGCTACCAGAAGTATATATTATTGGCAGAAAACTAGATACTGTTAATGGAAGACTACTACATCTTACTAAAGACTTATAGTAGTTCTACTTGCTATGCAGCGCTAGACCAAGAACTAGAATCATTCGGGTTTAGCCGTCTTAAGAGACGTACGGCTAAACCCGAATGTTTCTAGTTCTAGGTCTAGTGTTAGTTCTAGTTTTAATTGTTATTCAGCGCTAGATTGTTGTATATTTTTATTGAACTAAATCTAGAACTAACATTAGTCCTAGAACTAGTTCTACAAGTTATAGGGCCTACATGTACAAAGTAAATTGAAATAGAGAAGACAAAGACAGGAATTGGTGAGGAACTTCTTCTGTGAATTGAAAATGATGGAAATATAAATAGTAAATATCATTTACTTTTAAGTTAGTAGCAAATAAAAACATAAAAATATCAACGATAAAATAATAATTGAAATTCGTCGAAAGCACCTAAGCGGATATAATCTTTTCGTTGCAATCAAAGTTTCTATCGAAACCGAGAGAAAATTCACAACCACAGAAAACCCCAAACGTTTTCCGAGGATAACAAAACCACGCGGAAAGATACAGTTTTCGCGGAATTGGGTTAATCCTCGTCTGCATCTTTCCGAGGAACAATTTTCTCTTAGGTCCGTGTGAAGAAATAGGAGAAAACGACAGGTTCCATAATGGACCGCATCAGACACCCTTAGAGTTATTGCTCGGCAAAAATGTATGCGCTTCGTTTCAATTTAAATATTCCGCGACCAACGTTCTACGATATACGGCATTTTCTACGGGAAACGTCGAATAGTTGAAGCATAACAGCACGTTGTAAATTCAGGAAATGGGGACGGCTAAATGTAATTTAGGGGCGGGACAAACTCAACTCCAGTCGTACCTTCACCTAGGACATAAATTCATACGGTTATAATAGAACTAAAACACCTTTTCATTATTAATCGTGCTTTAAGTATTGTTTATCTCAAAACAACCAACTTAATTTTGATTTGATTTAATTTTTTAATTACTTTGATGGACGATTCAATTTTATTAAGTGCTACATTTCTAACAAACATCCATATCTCTTCTTCAAATCTTGTTAGATCGAGATTTAGTGTGTTCGAAAATTATTAAATTTCGTGGTTTGTTCGAAATGTGCCAGTTAGATTGATAAACGCCCGGAAGTGATTTAGAGGATTGGTTAACCACTGAGTTCAAAGGGAACGCGATGGTTCTAGTTTGGATGCGGCACCTGGTGGTGAAATTAAAAAAAAGGAGACTGAAGCGACGTTCTCCGGATAGTTTGGAATTCCCGCTACCTAAAGGACGAAGGAATTTCGCGTTAATTAAAGAAACGCGAATTCGAGGTATCCGGCGGTTTTTTACTTTTTAAATGAGAGGAGAAGGGACACGATCAATTCTGAGACTTCTTCTACCGGAGTTGAGATCATTTCCTGGGATCAAATAAGTTAACGTCACGGTGCAGTGGACACAGCCCGAGGAAATGGGGGTTTTATTCTTCGCCGCGAGAAAAATCCAACGGATCTAGAAACTTCCTTAAAATGCAATACAGAATCAAGTTCCAAAGATATTGTAATTACAAATTTATCTTTGTTTAAAACGATCTCGTTATTCGTTGATTTTCTTTTTGCGATGAAGTTTCTATTTGAGGTGAAAAAGGGAGCTTTGAACAACATTTCCAGTTCCACGATTTCCCGATCAACTCAAAGATTTTCCCGGAATCGTAAAAACCGATGTAGGCCACGAAATTAGAAATTCAAAGGGGGTAATCGCGTTTTTTTTTCCAAGAGATAACCTGTTTTCGATACGACTGGAAATCGAAATTTTAAATCATCCCCCCATCTCACTCTGAATACTAAACCAAGCTCACTTTCGCATTTAATTGCTCCTAAAAAAAGTTTAAAAAAAACAAAACGATTTCCACACGTGCAACCGACATAAAATCTGAATTTGTAACCGCTACGAAAAACGTCTTGTCATGAAAATAATCGTTGTCGTCCCAATTATCTTTTCACAAAAATGCTTCTCCCCATCCGAAGAGAGCTAATTGCCGTCCATAACTTACGGCCAATTTGGTCCGTAATTTAACGAAAACGGAAGAGAGGAAAGTGGAGGGGTGGATTTAAAAGTATACCCGGGCCAAGATTTAATGAAGGCTGGGAATCGAGTTGGGTCGCGTATGGGTTGGGTTTAGCTACGGATTCTACCCTAAATTACTTAAATTAACGGGTTCGCGTAATTCACGCTTCGGTCGCGGGATTTTTATCCGGGTTGTCTCTTTTCCCCAAGAACTTATCTCTATATCGTCAATACCGAGTTTCTGTTGGAATTAAAACTGAAAATTCTGAAACGATTGAGAAACCGAGGGTCCATTTTAAATTGTAGTCATTAAGTAAAAAAGCGTTTAAATTAAAATTAAAAAAAAAATAATTTGTTCTCAAATGTATAATAAAATAAGGTTTTCCTTGTATGTTTTTTCATGATACAAGAGTCCAAATATAATAATTTTTAGTCAATAAACTATTAATCTCAATTTTAAATTTAGCCAAGGTCATTTTGAGCCGAGGCGCTACAATTATCACCAGTCCATTCGAAGTAAATAGAATTCTTAAAAATTTAATTAAAGTTAAAAATCTTGCAGGGTTTTCATCAGCTTGATGGAGCAACATCAAAAAACATTTTCTTTTAACAAATTTCAGGCTTCATTTATTGTTGTAAATATAGTAGATTAAGGTACCTACACACCTCCGGCTAATTAAGCCTATGAATATTTCCACATTTAAATGTCTAATGTTTAGGTAGATGGCATTAAATGTTACATCGAAGTAAGTAAAATTATTATTTTTGACTCTGTGTATATTAAAAATCATTTGGAAATGGACCCATTAAATAAATCTAAAAAAATACTTTCCCAAAAATACCAAAACGAATCTAAACACAATAACAAAAAAAATATGAAAAGAAAAAAACATGCTTTTAGTATTTATCAAGACCACAAAGCACCCCAAAAATGCTATACCATGATAATAAAAAATTAGATTATCATACATTTTGACTCAGTGCCTTCGCAAAAAATGGATTATGAGTTTATTGCGTCTGCGTAAATTTTCGGTCTGATTAGCGTTATAAAAAAAATCTTTTTTAAAATAAAAATAAAATTTAATTAAATAATTGAATAACAAAACCCGTATGTGAGGGTGTTTTTGTTAGCCGTAGACGCAATTATCTCGTTAAAATCGTGGTCCCCTTTTCAATCGGCTTAAAATAACAAAAAGACGGCCGCGGAAATTTAATAAGAGTGAGAGCTGAAATGGGATAGTTTCGCAAAAGACTCACGTGCACTCGTAGTCGTTCCACAAGTCCACGCATTCGAACGGCTCAGGGCAGATCACGTTTGCACATGGTTTGTTCGAGGGACATTCCTTCTCCAGGTTGCGTCCCATCGTTGCCTGACCCCACTGAGTTCCATTCATTGCGGGGGGAAGAGGAAGGTGTTTTCCTTCTAATCGAATATCATCTAAACAACCTTTAAAAAAGAAATAAGAGTTATATTTATAAAATTTTCTTGCAAAAAATTACCTTTTTGATAATCAGCATAAACCTCAAATGTTCTAACTCCGGTGTACTCAGCTTTTCCACCAGCATAAACTCCTTCTTGTTTATCAACCAATAACCATTGATGTCCGGTAAAAGTGAAAGTTTCGTTGTATCTTCTTCCTTCCCCTCCATCTAATTCTAATGTAGCCGCTGATCCGTACCTGCTTACCCTAGCAACGTGCCATTGACCATCATCAACAGCAACAGCACTCAACCAAATATCCCTTTCTTCAGTTCTTAACGAATTGAGGTTGTAGCGGAAATGTAATCTGGAATCTTTAATTTCTAAAATTCCGTATTCTCGGTTATGTTGATCCGCGACTCTAAAAAGTTCTCCGTGTTCTTCCCGCGTTCTAAATCTTAATTGGATTTGAGTTGAAAATCGATCTGGTTCGAAACTAAGCGCGTATTTAACGTATGATTGGGGTTTGAATGATGTGGGCGTTGTCCTGACGGTGCAAGCAGGACCAGTCCAACCTGGTTGGCATTTACATTTCGCTTCATTAAAACTTCCAACGCAAGTACCGTGTTCGTTGCATCTTGAGGTGGCGTCAGATCTTGAGCAAACTTCTTCTGTTTGAGGACATCCCGGCGCGCTATTTCGGGATAATCCAGGTTGAGCTAAATCGTATAATTTAGAGTTATGGAAAAGGTTTCTGATGCAACCATCAAATCCTTTTCCAACTGGCATATATTGCCAGTGATAATGGGTTGGATCGAATTGTTCGACGTATAAACCACCTAATTGTAAAGGAGCGTTCACGTTTAAGTATTCGTTAAAAGGTGGAATGGTTCCTTGTGCTTGACAAGTACTATCATCGAATTCGGGTGGGGTTCCATCTTCTAACTCACTAATTTCGGCCGATTTGCAGTAATCAACCACCATTCTTACGTTTTCTGTATCCCAAAATATATCTAATCGATGCCATTCACCATCATCGAGAGTTTTCTTTGTTTTTACTCTCAATTCTAAAGTACCTGATCCGAAATCTAAGAGTAATCTTGGATAACCTCGTTCTAATTCCACCGCGATGTAATCAGAAACCATCATTTCATCAGTTTCGGGAGGAACGATTGGGCCGTTATATAAAAGTAATCCGTCTGGTTTTTTGGTGATAAATTCAAAGTGTAAGTGGGAATTATCACACATTTCTAGAGGCGGATACCACGCCCAACCGTTTCCTCTAAAACTTCTTGCTGTTTGTTGGCACCTTGGGCCGCTATATCCCGGGTGGCAAGAACATTTTAATGAATATCTATTTTCGATACATCTCCCGCCGTTATAACAAGGATTATTCCTACAATTTTCTTCTTTGCTAAAGTTTCTAGCTCCACATGTACATTCTGCTAAGACGTCCACTCTAACTCCAACCAAAGACGTCTTATTCGCATTCACCATGTAAGGCAAGGCACTTATATCTAACGTATTTGTACACGATCCTTCGCACATCACATTCTCATATAAACATTCATCAATCCCGACCATTGTGATATTAATTCCAACTTCTTTTTCAATTTCTTCACGGTGCATTAAAACTATCCCGTTTAACCTCACCGGTTTGTAATAAGGAGGCCCGTTTGCGGAAAATCTAATATCAGTAACTGGGGGATGTTTTCTTCGTAATTGCACGCTAAACACATCAACATTATCTCGATCGATATTTAATAAATCTGCAATTTTCTCTTTGAACTTTTCAACTTTACTTTTAGATAAACTTTGAGTTTTATAATTCCATATTCTGATAAAATCTTCATCCGTTAACCCCGATATCCTGACCGAACCCGAATTAACAACCGATTCGTGAGGTATCTCTTTAACAATAACGGTAACATTCGCAGGTACATCATTTTGGGTGTGTTTTCGATCGTAAACTTTGAATCTAAGATTATACTTTCCATCTCTAGTTCCGTGTCGCATCGAAATCATCCCAGTTTCTTCGTTTAATTTGAATTTGGGGTGCTCGGTTGTTTCCCAATAAAACTTTTTATCGGGGAGATCCCAATCGTCTAAGTCGTAAACGTAAACCCTACCTATTTCAGTTTCGGGGGCTTGCCCTTGATAGTTATAAACAAATATATCTTTAGCTCCCGGTTGCATTTTATTGTCGTTTACATCGCCGATTACGACGGTGAGAGTGCTCGTTCCAGTCATGGCTGGATTACCGTGATCTTTGATTACAATTGGGATTAAATATTCTTTTTGTTGTTCCCTATCGAATGAGCGTAATGAAGAAACGATGGCCATACCATCACCGTTAGCTCCCTCTGTAAGGTTATTTATTATTTATTAATTAATTTGGCTAGAAAAAACTTACTTTGATCTTGTTCTACTTTGAATGAAGCTCTAATGATGTCATCCGCGCCTGGGTCCAATCGAAATTGGAAAGGGGGGCCGTTGCTTTTTGATCTATCATCATCATCAGTTGCTAAAATTTCAACGACTTTTCTTGGAGGAACGTGTTCTGGTAAAACAGGTCTATAATCTTTTAAGAAAGTTGGGGCGTTATCATTAATATCTTGGACGATAACCGTTAAAGTAGCGGTTGCTGTTTTTGGTGGAACCCCATCATCAATCGCTAAAATTTTCACTTGATGCCTCGGGGTATCTTCTCGATCCAAAGATCTTTGAATACTAACAGTTCCTTCTTGATTAATAGAAAACTGTCGTTTTCGATCGGACGATCTATCTATAGCATACGAGACTTTACTTTTTCCACCTTGATCCGGATCTGTGGCTTTAAACGTTTCTAAGCTCTTCCCAACTTCGGCGTTTTCAAAGACGGAAACTTCGATGTTCGGTCTTTCAAATTGCGGTTTATTGTCGTTAATGTCTCTTAATTTCACAACCACCCACGAATAAGCCACGTGATATTTATCGTTGTCGTTATCCTCCCCTTTATCGTTAACCTGTATTCTAAACCTAAACCCATTACTTTGAAGAAGATCTTCGTAATCCAACGGTTGAACTATTTTCAACGACCCCGTACCATCATTATTACGCACCATCGTAAATTTATCGGCACCATATCCACTATTTTCAATCACTTTGTATTGAAACTTGTTCGTTTCGTCCTCATCGTGCACGGTAACCGTTAAAATCGGCATTTCGGGTAACGTTGTACCATCGGTTTCATCCACTTCGGTGAACCACTCATCTTTAGTAAACTGAGGCGGCATATCGTTAATGTCTTTTACCCTAATCGAAGCCGTACCCGTCCCTTTTAACCCGCCACCGTCCATCGCGACCACTTGTATCGAATAATCGGGAGTTCTTTCGCGATCAAGACAACATACCGCCGTTTTTATCACTCCCGTTTCCGATTCAATTTCGAAAATTGGCGAACCGGTTTCTTCTTCAATCACATTTTTCTCGATCGAATAGATAAGTCGCGCATTGGTTCCTTCCGAAGGATCATCGTAATCGACAGCCGTCATCGTCATCACCACCATACCTGCCGTGCCGTTTTCAGTAACATTACCGAAATAAACACCTTGAGGGAAAATCGGGGCGTTATCGTTAATGTCTTTTAAGTTAACTTGAACGTCCGCGTAACCCACAAGACCTTCACCACCTTCGTCTTGAGCGAAAACTGTAAAACGCCATTGTGGACGACCATTTGGTTGATCACGATCTAACGGCTGAAAGATAATTTTTAAATAAATTTCAATTCAAAATTATTTATAGAGATACAGTAAACGAACTAGAAATACAGCCCTTGATTTTTACATCGGGGAATACCCTGAGTTTATCCTGACTTTAATTTCCTTGATCAAATTAGAACTTAAAAATAATCCCTTTTCAAATACAACCACATCCCGTTACTACCAATGTTTAATCTCGTTGGGATATTGAAAAAGAGTCGCACACGTAGATCAAAACGCCAGTAGGTTCTTTGTCTCGTCATTGAAAACCCATTTTCAACTGTGGTAGCGCGTAGGGAGAGCAGTACCTCAAATAGAGTTTTCCCCATTAAAATGAGAACGGCATCCGTAGGGGCTGTGAAAAAAGGGGCCTGGTATTGGATCAGAGCAACGGAATTCTATTAGTGTACGTCAGTGGCTTCCGGTTTTTTTAGATACGGTAAAAAGAGAAAGATGCATCTCATTAGCGTTTGGTAAATTTTACGAAGAACTTTGTAAACCGATTTCGCTTGCTCACGTGAATTTTAAAATGTGTGTACGTGAATTTTCAAACATACCCTTAATAAATATTGATTAAATTAAAATTTTAATTCAGCAAAATTTTCTACATGCATTAAAATTTACAGTAACATTATTCTCAGGTAACTTTGAAGCAATGACCACTTTGAATCAATTCATTACGAGAAAGCCCATCCTCTTAAGCTTCGAGATGTACCTAAGTACTCTTTGTGAATACTACATTAATTTCGATTTGTATCAAGGATAGAATCCGAATTGAAATGAACATTATCAACAGCATACATCATTTTTTAATGATGCTCGTATCACTTCTTGTATTAATTAATCACGCGTATGCATCGAGAAACGACATATTTTAGTGTGACATTTAGAAGTGAGTGATTTACCGTATCGAATACTTGCGAAAAGTCAAATAACATAAGCACGGTCCATTCATTGTTGTCAGCAACGTGTAATGTATCATTTGCAATATTAATAATCGCCGTTGCGTAACTACGATGTTTCGGAAAGCCAGATTGTATCAACGAGAATGTGTTAGGTTTATCGATAAACGATCTAATTTAAAAATCCATCTTTTTTTTCTAAAATTTTTGAGAGAGTTGGTAAAATTATTTAAAGTAGGACATGTTTCGGTTGATTAATAACCTTCATCAGGCGACATGATGGTGAAAAGATGTATGGGTATGTCAAAGATGATATACAAATATTTTGAAATTAATGTAATTTACCTGAACTAACTTCTTATTTTGAACAGATACATTTTTTACCAAGTTGAAAATATGTATTTGGAAATAAACATTGATTATGACAGCGATGATTTTAGTTGTATCTTCTCAATCGCAGATGACCTTTCATGTTCCAAGGATTTGGCCAGAATTGTAGTACTCAGGATCGATTTTTAGGTGTGAAATTCCATATCGCAAGGATGTTTTCAAAAACTATTTACGATAAAACAGCCAAATATCAGTACACTTATATTTCAGTTTAGATGATGTTGCAAAAAAAATAGCAACCAAATATTGATGTCTTGCACGCACTTGAAGAAAACCCTCAAATTTACGGAGTGGCACGCGATGCCACTGCCTCGCATCATATAACGCGGCGTATGTACGTGAACAATTTATGCATCCTCATGTACAGCGAGTGCAAGTATTAAATGGGCGTGATTTTTAACCTCGGATGAAATTTTGTTCGCAGTTTCGAGAACAGATGGTACTGCAACCCAATTTTACGAGTTCTACGAAACTCATTACAACAAATTTCAAATTTTCTATTTTTTTTAGAAGATGGACTGATAATGCTACTTGTCAAATGTGAATCAAACTGTATATATTAAACGTTTTAATTATCTATATGAGCTCTTCAGAGGTAAGGTATGTTAAGTCACAGACTTGAAATTGTTAAGAAGAGAGATTTAAATGTGGATTTAATGTTTAAAGAAATAACATGGTGGAGATAACTCATTTTGAAAAAAATGTAATTTAATACACCAATTTGATTCGGCCGTTCTCGACTTATTCGAATTTTTCTAGAAAAATCTGCTCCAGCAGACATTTGTTCAAACAATCAGAGAACACTCGATGTTTGGGATATCAATTTAGGATTCAGAACATGCTTAAGCAACATTATTGAGTATGTTTTGGTGCCGAAAACGGCTGTCTAGAACGTTTGGTCACTTTATTATGGCAGGTTAACTTTTCGAAATTTGGAAGTACCATAACTTCATTTTTTTAAATGGCATCCTCCATATTTTATTACTTAGTTGTCTTCGATGTCTCATTCTACATCTTTTATGTCCCAGATGTCCCACGCATAACATTAATAGTTACGGAGTAAATTAGGGTTTTTTGAAAAATGCACACATATCATATGGATATTTAGCCTAGTGTTCCATGGAAAACAAATATTTAATGACTTATTGACAAACGTCAAAGTCTGATTTACGTTGTTTGATGCTTGTGAGTCTAAAACCAGTTAAAATGGATATGAATAACGTAAATTAATAATAACTTAAGAGATCGTAATTGATAATACTTAAATTTGAATTCTCAAATATTTATTTATTTCGGCCAGAACCCCAGAAATGTTTAATGACCGGTATCGCTGAGACACCTGTATAGTATATTCGTTGTACACACATTTTGGAGACACTCTCTATATGGTATTTTTAAAGAATCGTCTGGTCGCTTAAAAATCGATATTTTTTTTATTCACTCAAATAAGCCGTTAAAAAATAAAAAAAAGTATGGAAAAGTGAACAAGTTACCGAAAAATCATTTTAAAGTTGTTACATTTGTATAGAAATTAGATTTTGAGTTGGGTTAATCAACATTTAAAGTAGTGCGAAATCGCAAATGTCAGGTCGGGTTCGGAGCAAGGGGAGGGTTGTAAAAGAAACATAAAAACTCAGATACACACGAGCAGGTACATGGTAAATAAAGATGTTTTAGTCGTTGTGCGTCGAGAACCAAAGTAACAACGATATTTCACCCGAAAATATGGGTTATAATACTAACAAGTTGTTAATTCTTTCATTAAATTTGAGAAAATGATTTAATTTTTACTTACTTTATTTGTGCTGTGTGCGTGGATGTGGAAAAATAATTATTATCAGACCAGTGTTAACCCAAGGTCTATAGAACATAAGGTTACCCAATACCGATTCTCCTCCTCTGAGAGGCAAGGTGGGTCAGTGACGTAGCTGGTTCTATGAACAACACAACACGATGCGAGGTTTAAATATTTTATATAGACTGTACCNTTAAAAAAAAAGTATGGAAAAATGAACAAGTTACCGGTCGGGTTCGGAGCAAGGGGAGGGTTGTAAAAGAAACATAAAAACTCAGATACACACGAGCAGGTACATGGTAAATAAAGATGTTTTAGTCGTTGTGCGTCGAGAACCAAAGTAACAAGGATATTTCACCCGAAAATATGCGTTATAATCCTAACAAGTTGTTAATTCTTTCATTAAATTTGAGTAAATGATTTAATTTTTACTTACTTTATTTGTGCTGTGTGCGTGGATGTGGAAAAATAACTATTATCGGACCAGTGTTAACCGTAGTGTTGTGAAAAATACGTTGTAACCTAAGTTCGTGACGTCACGTCGAAATTTAAACTGATTTTTCGGTAAGTTTTTCACATTTCCGCACTTCCTTTTTATTTTTAACGTGTTTTTTAGGCAACTTTATATTGGTACAAAAAAATCGTCGATTTTTAAGCGACCGGGCGATTCTTCAAAAATTTTCCCAGACTTGGGACCTGGCTTTATTATTCCATCAAATTGAGGAAAATACTTGTTTAACTAGTAACAACATAACCACAAAAAATACATTAATAAGGAGTTATGAAATGAATTATTATGAGCAATATCTCAGAATTATCTTTCGTATTGAAGGTAAGTGAATTGTTAACTAAATTAATACGAATAAATCTAAAGAAAGTAACAACACTTATCTTAGTTTCTTGGTTGTAGGATAAATCAGTTCTTTGAATCGCAGAAATTCTTCAAATTAACTTTTTTTTGAGGTTATGTCTAGATTAATCTTATTACATAACCTAAAACGTTGTTTATAATGTTGGAGGAGACAAAATTTGCGTGTTCTGTTTCAAGTTCAAAATCACACTAAAATTTTTAATTTTCCTTTGCTTAATGTTTGAGATTGAAAAATACTGCTTCCTGATTGGTCAATTCTATTAACTTGAAATTCGTTTTTAAAATTTTCTGGTATTACCAACTTTAACATTTGAAATGTCACTAATTTAATTTGATTAAATATTATTTAAATTTTTTTAATAACTATATTTATGTATGAAATCTCGTGGTTTTAATGCTTCATTAAATTGATTTTTAGATATCTGATCATTTTCTTCTATATTCAACGGCTAAATTCCCAAAATGCTGTAATCTTGAGATTATGAATTTTCATCTAAAATTTCATTAATTCACACAAAGGATGGCTGTTTTCCATTTCTACTACGCTAAGATTATCATTTTCAATAGCTTCAACAGGATAAATAAGGATTTGAATAAGAAATTGAGAAAGAATCAAATTGAGGTTATCTATCTGTCCCCTTGACAGATCTTTAAAATTACATCGTATCAACTTTACATGGGTTGTATATAATAAAACACATCAGAGGCCAATAATACATAACGGAATTCATCAGTAAATAATATTTCATATTACTAATAATAAATTTATTATTATTACCATTCATAACATTTACATATTACCATTCACATTCACATATTACCATTCTCTTAAGTACATATCATGTACGTTCAATAGGATAAGTCTTTTAAATTTTAAATTTAATTTAGAGTTATTTATATCATCACCCTTCAACTAATAGCCACTAGTTGCCGGCCAGATTTAGCCTGTAATAATTAAGCACTAACTATGGGGACGTAACCCTTCTAATCAAAAGACGTTTCATCATTAGCACTAGCTTGTCTTTAGGATGCGGATCGACATCCCGGAAAGGTCGCCATCCTACGCCTTGAATCGATCGCCTCAATCGCAATTAAGCACAGTGTGAGGAATGATCCTTTTCTACCAAGTCCAAACCAAAAGGATAAATCAACTCGGATTTGTGAGAGGAAAGCTGGGTGGAGATATTGATAAAAGACTAGGGTTAAAGAACCTTAGTTTTATGCCGTCCAAAATCGAAAAGGATTCAATAAAGAAACAACACAGCAAGGATTTCCTAACAATTGAGAACGAGATGTTGAGTTATTATTGTTGTTATTTTTCGTGGTGATATATTCTTAATAATAAAATATTAGATAAGATTGTGAGGGAACTAGTATATTTTAAGGGCATTTATCGCGCATAACGGTGGATTTATGATGAAAATTTTCTAAAAGAACACCATCTCGGCTTTTATATGGGACGTTTTATCATAGTTTAAAATATATTTTTAAAGGGTTACTGACCTTAAGAACAAAAATTTCTCCGTTGGTTCGGTTAATGTCAAACTTGCTGTTGGCCGGATTGTCCGGATCGATTCCTTGACCCGTGAGGAAGTAGACGATATTCTGGGGACGATCTTTGTCACCATCTGTTGCGGTAACCTGTTGGATTCGCACGAAAAATATCAGAAATTTAACTTTTAGCAACTTATCGATTCGTGCATTTTCAAAGTATCAAACTCTAAAAGAAAATATTAAGCAAGACTTACCACGTATTAGGTTGGTTCTTAAAAGACATATCGGTTCAATTTTTTTTTTAACTAAGAGGTTAAAATTTTTTTATTATGCAAATTCGTTCATTTATATTCTGAAGAAATCTGTATTTATAACTTTCCTTTTCGGGTTATTAAAGTTAAATTTCGCCGATTTTAATTAAGATAAAACGCGTCTGTATGTGTATTTTTGTGATTTAAATTTTTTCCCATATTTTATAAAGTTTAAATTAAAAGTAAATAATAATAAAGTCTTAATAAAAAAATTGAAATTTAGCTTTAACCATTATTTACTGTCTTGGCTCTTGGGCATACAACAACCGAAGCGTGCATGAACCACGCTCTCTATTACATTCACGTCGGACAAATACGCACAGGAAAGCTCGAGGTATATACATTTCCAATTTCAAAGTAAACACAATGAACAGCTCACGAGAAGTTCTATAAATTGTTTCTAGTGTAAACAAGACCTCATTAAAGTTGGCCGAGGGCGAAGCAGTCAACTTGAGATGATACCTAGAAAACGCATTGAGTGGAAGAATACAATTTTTAATTATACAGTAAATACACGATAGTCCGTTAAATAAAAAATTTTAATTTGCACTTTAAACTGCCATCCTTTCGCAGATCGAAGGCCCGTTTGTGACGTCACGTCTATCTTCTACTATTTCACACCTTTCTCTTGATCGAGTTTAGTATTGCGTTTCTTAGGACGGCTAAGCCCGAATGTTTTTAGGTCTTCGTTGAAGATTTCTTCTTGGTGAGGAATTTTTTTGTTACTTTGAAAAGTTACCGTGGAAAATTAATTATTTAAACGATGAAAAGTTGTGCGAGTATTTTGTTCGGATGGTTTAAAGTGCACTCAAGCTTTGAAAGCAGAAAAGAATGTCCTATAATGCATCATCTGGAAAGGTGAATTTAGAGATGGCGTCTATTATAACGGGAAAAGTTATCTGTGCTTAGTAAGAATTATTATTATGACTAGTAATAGGGTCGAGTAACAAATTTTAGAAAAGTTTTTGATGATGAATCTCCTTTATAAGTTGCAAGGACATCTGGCTTTTTCTATAATAAATTACATAGCATTACTTAAAAGCTGTAACACCGGAATTGATTAGTTTCTAACTAGGATGAGTAATTATATTTGTGAGAATTATCCATCCACACCCATGCGCTTTCATGGTTATATATCGTTAAATTATTATTATAAATGATATGGATTACATTTAGGAAGCTCATCCAAGCAGCGAATGCCAGAACATAATTAAACAATTCCAATTCTAAAACCAATTTATATTGAGTTCTGGGAAATTTCTATATTTTCCTCACGAAAATCTCCGTTTCCTTTAAACTCGAGCAATACCCAATAAAAAAAGTAAGTTAAGAGAGTGTGTTAAGATTGCGTTCTAAAATTGACTTCGGTGGTCGATTCACCTGTACAACTTTGAAATGAGTTAAAGAACTTTGGTCGGCTTAAGTTTCAGCTTGAAACGGGGAGGGTTTAAGGGAACCGCATTCACTTTGCTAAGCTACAGCCGCTTCGTTAGCTTTAACAGACGGTTCCGACACGAACGACAACAAAGGAGATCCTAACCAGGATGCACAAATAGGTCGTGGTGCTCTAAAGTGTTCCAACCAAGTTTAAGTTGAAAACTATCCCTTACTTTTTCTAAACAATCCCTTTTATTTACTAATCAAAAAGAATTTAATCAAAACACGAATTCATGAACCAAAATAGACGATCCAAATCACGAACGTGTTGTTTAATTACAATACGTGAAATGAAAACACCAGTTAGCAAGGCAATAACTGGTAATTACATTCGCGAAACATTCTCCAGTCCAATTATGCGAAACAAGTAAATAATTTCAATTAAAACTTTGCTGCCACGTTGCGGTTCTCAACACCTTAACCCCATAAATCATAATAAACGTTTCATTCATTTACGCGTTACTACGAGAATTACGTAAGTTAACGAAAAGTTTTTATTTTGCGATTTTGCCACTTTATTTCCCCAGAAAGCATCGAATGAGACAATAAGAAAAAGAAGTTTCGCTCGCTTTCTATAAAAATGGTAAACATCGCGTCGAAGCGGGTGTTGGAAAAGTAGTTTTTGGGTGAGATAATAGGAAACACTGGCGTTGAGTTGGATGCAAACACTTTTACGTGGCCCAAATGGAAGCTTTTATTCTCTTTATCAAAAAATGTCGATAAAAGTTTAAAGTATTTTATAAGATATATAAAGAAGTTATTAAAAATTAATTTCCTTTCGAACGAACTAGTCCCTGCATTTTATACAATACCTCTCTTTCGAAGATACCATTATTATTCCTGTGCATTTATCTCCAATCTCGTTCTCTTGGCATGTTTCTTCAGTGACTTACTAGTCTATTTTCGTAGGATTAATAATATTCGCATCTTCTGCATATACAACCAGTTGTAGGGTTTTGTTGGTCATCAAATTTTTTTTTCCGATGTCCGTTTGTCTTATGATGAATTCAAGCGTTACGTTGAATAGAGTTGGGTTGGGTGAAGTATTAGTTGAGGTGGCACGGGTAGCTCGTGAGGGATTTGATAAGGTCTATTTCTATCTATTGCATCATACGCTTGTTTAAAATTTAGGATGTCTATGTTATATTGCCAAGATATTCTAAGTTTCTCTTTTACCGTGAATATTAGTGGTTATTAACAACATGTATTCCTCTTCTATCAGTATTTAATCTTCAATTACAAGTATGTAGTCTTCTGCCATAAGTATTATACGCCAGCGGTGTCTAATCTTTATGCAGATGTATCTAGTATTTTCCAATCAGTATTTAGTCTTCTACAACCAGTAAGTTTTAATCATTCAATTTTCTACCAGCGGTATTAGTTCTCTTCCAGCAGTATCTAGTCTTCGAATATCAGACTAGATAGAGCACTTCTGGCTCGATGGTTTTGTCAACAAGCAAAATTGACGCATTTGGACGAGTGAGCAGGACTTCGCTACAGGACCTTAATATCGGAGTATTTTTGGGACCTGCTCGACGCTATGAACTTAAACGATATATTCAGGTTCCAGCTGGATGGCGCAACGTGCCATACAACGTACGACACAATCGAATTATTGAAGACCAAGTTTGGAGAGCTAGTTATCTCAACCCCTTTAGACTCTTTTCTTTGGGCTTACATTAAATCGCTAGTCTATGCCAACAAGCCAGCAACGTTAGAAGAACTACAGGTCAACTTCAATTTCAGCCGATTTGTGTGCTTGAGTCATGGAAGATTTGGTCCAGCGTATTCAATCGTGCCAGCGCTTCCGCGGAGGACATTTGAACGATGTCGTATTCCATAAATAATGGCATCAATTATACTTATTGAAAAAAAAAAACATTTCCATAATTAACCCACATGTCTTTTAATTGAAAAAACAAAATGCGACGGTCTTAATGAAAAACCCTTTATTTCTAGCAGTATTTCCAACAGTATATAGTCTTCTGCCAGCAATATATAGTCTTTTACCAGAAGTATATAGTCTTTAAGTAGGAGTATCTATTATTTTTTAGCAATTTATAGTCTTTTACCAGCAGTATATCGTCTTTTATTAGCATTATCCAGTCTTCTTTCTGCTATATCTAGTATTCAAATACCAGTATGTATCACAAAGTATCTACTTTTTTACTTGGAATATCTAGCATTTGTGTCTAAACTGCTGTAAACAATTTTAGTTAACGACTTTCCACATTCTTTTATTCTAGAAATCGTAGTTTGCATCGGGAAGCGTAAACTTCATCGCTTCAACGACCCTAGAGGTTATAGTTTCATATCGATAGGATTCTTGCTGGTGAATTTGAGCATTAGTATAAGATAGTTAGTTCCAACAATGCAGAAATTAATAGTTATCTAATAAACATCTCCAAGTCTTTGAGGAAGTATTTAGTTGATTGCTTGGGGCTGATTGTTAGCAGGGAAAAATGTATATCTTGATAAGATTTAGGTTATAATAAAAATCGCTGAAACCAAAGTATCTGTAACGACGAATTTTGGGGGTAACTTTCTGGAATTTGTGTTGGCCTATTTCTTTAGAGTCCAATCCCTTATCATTACGGCTAATCCCGAGCTGTTGGTATACATACTTACGGTTGAACTTGTGGTGCACCATCTCTAAATTGGAGAATTTCATTTCGATCTGTTTTCGCGATACCAAGATAGTAGATGGAAGTTTGTTTTTATGAAAACTGTTTTTATTATAATTTAATAATCATATTTCTAACATGGTAATTTTCGTTTTGACGTTCATGATTTAGGAATTTCCGGGGCGAGGTCGACCGCGTTCGACATTGCGTCATATATGAATTCACGCGGAGATTAATTAACGTCGACCCTCGCGTCAATATCACCGAATTTTATTGAGCTATAACTTGCCGGATCGTCGACCATGTTTTTAAAACGGGGTAGGACCATCTATTAACGATCGCGGTCACGCAGCGATTGTAACTTTGGAGCGAACCGATGATAAATATCGGACCGCTTGAAATTTTACGGTGAGGGTTAATGGATTTTCACGGAGAATTCGCTGTATCAATCCACATAAACGAAAGCGTAACGTAAATATCAAAAGGTTTCAATTTTTAAGAAATTAGTTTCTGTGTCGAACTGATTTAAACAAACCGATTGGAATTAGATCGAATTTCTTCCGTAACGGTCTGGCGCGCATCGAAACACGAACTCGGATCATTAATTTGGACAAGGTTCACTAAAGCTTCGGTTATTCTCTTTGGATGTAATTTGTTCTTGTGTTCGAAAATTTATTGTTACTCATTAACAGTAAATTGAAACTAAAACCGATATGAACCTATATGTCTTATTTTTAACCATCATCCCGCGTTACCTCCACCTTATTTTTAACCTGAAATTGTTTCCCTACCTTCGTAAGCCTCATGGGATAATGTCCTGGTTGTTCTTCGTCAACATCGGATCTATATAGTTTTTTCTCAAATTTCGGTGGTAAATCGTTGGCATCTTTGACGTGGATCACGACGGTGGTGTAGTTTTCGTTAAGGCTGTCCGAGGCTACCAACGTCAGCTCATACTAGATAACCATGCAGTACATACACGACATGTAGTGGGTGAAATTGCAAGAGGCTACGGGAATTTTGCCAAGGTGCGAGAGAGACGACAAGTGTAATGTGTATGTTACGGTAAATATTGGTATTAGGAATAATTAAATGGAACGCTCTCCATTTGTTTACACGGGGTTGAAAAGGAAATTGCTTCGTTAAAAAAAAGTAATAACAAAAAAAAATAGGAAAGATAGGACACGTAATAAAATAAAAACAAAGTGATGAAATCCTACGACAAAACCAACGAAATCATCAGTCACGAAAAAGTATTTGACCACGGGAACAAACAAAAATGTAACAGACAGACAACAACACAAACGCAAACACAACACAGAAAACGGAACTCGGTTTGCGCATGCAAAAATCGTGTGCATTGAAAGGAAACCCGCCTGTAGGACGCGTTTTGGTAAATTCCGGTCGTCCTCTTCCGTGATTTGCGTCCGATACGTCGGTCTTTCAAACGCTGGGGGGTTGTCGTTAACATCCTTGACATGGATCACCACCGTTGTGTAGTTTTCTTTAAGGTTATCTGATGCAGCAAGACGCAGCTCATACTAGAAGAGTGTAAGAGATACAGTTGATGGGGAAAACGGGCGGATGATGCTATTTAATGATGAATGAAACAAAGAATTATACAAATAATTCCAAAATTACAACGCTTGAAAAAACTCCGAGAGAAAACCCCAACTCGTAAATCCCTACAACTCCAAGTTCCGCGGTAATTTGAAATTTTAAAAGGATTTCACGTAAACTTAATTATAAGAAGTTCCACTATACTTTTTAAGCTAATTTCTGAGGTTTCCGTAACTTCTTAGGTGTCCACGGATGATTTGAAGTTCCGAATAATCCCCCGAATTAACGTCTCGCTAAAATGATTAAAGGGAAGAGATGAGGAAGGGACAAATCACGAACAAGGAATGCCAATGGAATGTGATACCTCAAAGGCGTATTATCGAATTAATTAACGCAAGTTGGAACAGGAATTACAATTCGTATGATGAGAAATGTGTTTTGATCGTCCACTTACCCGCTTTCTCGTTTCATAATCCAAAGCGCCTGCTACATAAATCGCTCCCGTCATGTTCTTGACGGCGAAAGCTCCTCCTATGTTACCGCTCGTGATCTCGTATCGAATACGGGACGCTGCAAAAAAAAAAAAATTACTTAAAATTGTAAGAAAATTTTTATTTGGAAAATCTATGGTTGGGTTAAAAAGGGCTATAAATTAGGCTGAGATATGAGCCGGGAAAGCCGTTCGCACTCCACTGAAGAAATACTAATAAAGAAACCCCAAAGACCGCACTGCCAATCGGCAATATCTCACGGCTGACCTACATAGAGGTCATTAACGAACGGCTTTCGATGCCCAGGAGCTCCCTACGAGGAGGGCAAGACACGTTAATAGCCACGGAGGTTTTTGGCACGGCTCATTGGAAATGAATTTCCAGCCAAGCTCTCCTCGTCTCCTTTCGAACGACAACGTTAGATGTAACGAGTTAGAGCTCGTTTGAGGACCGAAACGGCTGTATGAGGTCATCCGGCTCTGAAACGGGGGTCACAGTATCAAAAGACCGACTTGGGTTAGTAATAATTCATGGTCAATGTGAAAAGGTTTTCTGTAATAACCCCAAAAGGTAGAAAGAGAACCCTGGTAATTATTGATTCTTTGTTATATATAACCCCATTAAGTCAATAGTGAAATTGTTTCTTTTCAGAATTGATAGAAAGATAACAGGAGACTTAGTCTATACTTCGGTGTATACCCGGTTCTTGATCTTATAACAGTGCGATAGACCTTGAGTTTCAATTATTTTAATATTTTGCTAATCACTAGGTAGTTGTAGGTAAAGTAGCACTTATTGCCGCTAAGTTTAAGCTTTGTACACGTTCCTCTGTACAACATCTCGACTGGAGTGGGTTGTTCTGCTGCTACGTAGTTTGTGGTATTACATCATCACCTGTTCGTGCATAACTTTGCACATCATACTACAAAAACTTGGAGAGTTATCTTTTTATTTGGTAAAGATTTCATTTTTTTATCTTGCTTTGTTGCTTTCCTGTGACCTGTCAAAACCGCACCATGATTTTACTCTGTTAACTCTCGCTGAATTCTCACAGTTGCTTTCGATTCAGTTAGCGTAATATTAATTAAGCTTATTGGCTTTTATGGTATACCCAGCTTTGTTGTTGGCATTCCTTTTGTCATCATCTCTCAATGCTTAATTAACCTAATTCGAGTCATTAGTTTTTCAGAGTTTGATGTAAAAAATTTTATTACAAAAAAATTCTATAGTAATATAAGAGTTAAAAAGAGATAATAAAATATTTTTTTGAAATTTTTTTATAAAAATATACGTTAAAATTGAATTTCTTTCTCCTTAGAGAGTTATCGGTATCTTTTGGGCTTCCGGTCGCCTCCCATGTTCAATATGTCACCGGCCCATTTACCGGACCGAGGGACACAAGACCCTCGGGATCCATTCAGGATCCTAAACACGGGATCTCGGCGTATCCAGGACAGTGATTTCGTAATGGTCGATCGTAAATTGCTACTAACCGGATCAGGTACTTAAATTGTCCATAATCGGACAAAGGAAACGTAAACTTTATTAAAACGTCTTTTAACTACTTCAAAAAAAAAAAAACCATCAGATCTCATCGAAATTTTAAATACATAAATAGAATGCGAAATGGTTGAAACGAGAAAGGATTTCGAGATAGATCATAACTCATCCGTAAATAAGCGTCGAGTTGTCGAGAACAGGGTCGACAAACGAGAAACACTCTGGCTTAAGCGGTCTTTGTTGGACAATGCTCAAGGGGAAAAAGCCCCACTTGACAGCGGTAATTTGCTACCCCTTTAGCCACCACAGGAAACGGTTAAGTATCAAAAAATATACGTAAAGAAGTGGTCTCGTTGCAACTCCAGATGATTAATTGGTCAAGTACGTCGAGATCAAACAAGTAGTAGCTTAAAAACTTTTTTGTTTCGTTTCTGGCGAAATGGTTTAACGTTATCAAAAGTTGAGAAACGAGATATAAGCATAAATCTCAACGTGGCTGTTCTAAAATTTAATAACCGAGGCGTAACTCATCTCGAACAGGAAATTGCTTAATTGCAAGAAAACTTGTATCACATTCGGGAGACATTTAATAACATCAGCAAGGAATTTATAAATGTCCGGATCCAATTTAAAGCATCCAGACTGAATAATGTAACAATCGTTGGATTTAATCGTTTTACCTCCACAGCATCAATTTGACGGTGGAAACGACGTCATTTCGCTTGTATTTAATTTTATCTGAGCACATTTCCCCAGCAGGCGGCAGAAACGTTTAGGTCGTTCATGCTCAGATTATGTCTTGAAGTACTGGTAACGTGGGGCGACGCGGCTTGTATCTCTCACAGGTCGCCCTTTTTGTCCAAATTACACCATTGGTAACAACTGGCTGCAAGAACGTATATCACCAGCCTCTCCAGAGCTTATCTGAACGGTAATAGCTTTGTTTTTTATCCAAAAATCCCTGTTTGCCTTTTCCTGTTTATATCACCACAATGATTCAACTCCTAGCGATTCATCAACGACCCTCGTTATTTATCGCTTGCTGGTACACAACGAATCGATGGCATGTAATGGATTTTGCGCAGCGTTTCAATCGAAGTAATTAGTTAACAAGTAGTAACTAGGGTCGTTCGTTATTCCAAGTTTCATCACAGTTTCATTTTACATAAAACTAAATCACATTTTAATCCTATCAAATTACGTGAGCGTTTACAATTTTAGCAAACAAAAGTGCTTAATGCAAACACTGCAGAAAGTCAAGTCTAAGAAACTGCAAGACGAAACGTCTCTACGAAACCAACCGTCAAGATGCTAAACTCCAAGTCGCATTACGAACAAGACATTCCAGGAAAAAGACTTATAAACGAGAACACCATTATTATTTTATTGAGTTCGTGAAGCATCTAATTTCGAATATCCCTCAAAGGATCTCTCTCTCCCGACGGGATATCTTATTATCGAGAGTATTGGCCCGGTTCGTTTGTCAATATTGAACCCTTTGTGATAGCAGCCGGTGGAAAATTGGTCGGACCCGCAAAAACAACGAAAACAAAACGAACAGAAAGGGTCTAATAAGATGAGAAAAGTCGGAACTTACACTCATCGTGATCTTTGGCGGTGACGGTGAGGACGGTGTGTTGGATATCTTCATTCTCGTCGACTTCCGCCTCGTACAGAGCTTTATCGAAGTATGGAGGGTTGTCATTCTTATCGGCGATACCAATACGAATAAACTTTGTCACTGAAATAAAAAAGAAAAAAATTATTATAATAACATAATACTGATATTTTTTAAATCTTTAATGGGTGGCACAAAAAAAGCCTGTTAAAAAGATTTTTAAGACTACAAGTTGGAAGTTGGACATAAAATATCGTAACCTTGGATTATATAGATAAGTATTGTATACCCAAGGTACGAGGTTTTATCTATGATGGGTGAAATAGATAGATGCCGAGGCAATTAAGGCTGAAAACTTTAAGACAATCATTTGGTCATTAAAGATAAAAATCGTATTTTTGGAATACAAATAACTATTCTATACCTAAGGTGCCAAATATTATCTTTCGGTAGTGAGATAGGTAATAGCCAAGGTTGCTATTGTGAGCGAGGCGCTACAATCGGAACCTATAAACATAAACCCCTGAAACTTTCTATTTTTAGGTCTAGTGTTAGTTCTAGTTTTAATTGTTCTGCAGCGCTAGACCAAGAACTAAAATCATTCGGGTTTAGCCGTTTTAAGAGACGTACGACTAAACCCAAATCTTTCTAGGTCTAATGTTAGTTCTAGTGACAATGTAAGCGTAAAACTAGAACTAACACTATACCTAGAACTAGAATCATTCGGGTTTAGCCGTCTTTTGAGACGTGCGGCTAAACCCAAATGATTCTAGTTCTAGGTATAGAGTTAGTTCTACATAGTACAGTGCTAGTGTAAAACTAGAACTAACACTAGACCTAGAACCAGAAACATCTCTTCTCGTCTTAAGACGGAAACTCAGAGTTATCATAAGGACGTTACTTTTTCCAAGCAAAACTTTTTCTCTGCAAAATTATCCAATGTATGTACTATTAAGTTATGTTGCATTTTGTGTGTGACAGTACAGGTGCATAGTAGTTTCGTAACTATGGTTACCGCATTAATATTGTGAAATTCCCGGTATATTGATTATAAAAGAAACAAAATAATTAACCCAATTCAACTTCATTATAATAACAGAGATATTTCCAATTTCGATTTAATCTATTCTCTAATGATTGAGCGTACTGAATTGCCTATCAAACATAGACATTACCTGGCTGATATTACACCGTGTAACNATAGATAAGTATTGTATACCCAAGGTACGAGGTTTTATCTATGATGGGTGAAATAGATAGATGCCGAGGCAATTAAGGCTGAAAACTTTAAGACAATCATTTGGTCATTAAAGATAAAAACTGTATTTTTGGAATACAAATAACTATTCTATACCTGGGGCGCCAAATATTATCTTTCAGTGGTGAGATAGGTAATACTCAATAAATATAAACCCCCGAAATTTTCTATTTCTAGGTCTAGTGTTAGTTCTAGTTTTAATTATTCTGCAGTGCCAGACCAAGAACTAGAATCATTCGGGTTTAGCCGTTTTAAGAGACGTACGACTAAACCCAAATGTTTCTAGGTCTAATGTTAGTTCTAGTAACAGTGCAAGTGTAAAACTAGAACTAACACTATACCTAGAACTAGAATCGTTCGGGTTTAGCCGCACGTCTCTAAAGATGGCTAAACCCAAATGATTCTAGTTCTACGTATAGAGTTAGTTCTACATAGTACAGTGCTAGTGTAAAACTAGAACTAACACTAGACCTAGAACTATAATCAATCGGGTTTAGCCGTCTTTAGAGACGTGCGGCTAAACCCAAATGATTCTAGTTCTAGATATAGTGTTAGTTCTAGTTTTACACTTGCACTGTTACTATAACTAACATTATTATAGTTCTAGGTCTAGTGTTAGTTCTAGTTTTACACTAGCACTGTACTATGTAGAACTAACTCTATACCTAGAACTAGAATCATTTGGGTTTAGCCGTCTTTAGAGACGTGCGGCTAAACCCAAATGATCCTAATTCTAGGTATAGTGTTAGTTCTACATAGTAACAGTGCTAGCGTAAAACTAGAACACTAGACCTAGAACTAGAAAGCTTCGGATTTAGCCGTGCGTCTCTTAAGACGGAAACTCAGAGTTATCATAAGGACGTTACTTTTTCCAAGCAAAACTTTTTCTCTGCAAAATTATCCAATGTATGTATACTATTAAGTTATGTTGCATTTTGTGTGTGACAGTACAGGTGCATAGTAGTTTCGTAACTATGGTTACCGCGTTAATATTGTGAAATTCCCGGTATATTGATTATAAAAGAAACAAAATAATTAACCCAATTCAACTTCATTATAATAACAGAGATATTTCCAATTTCGATTTAATCTATTCTCTAATGATTGAGCGTACTGAATTGCCTATCAAACATAGACATTACCTGGCTGATATTACACCGTGTAACTTCGTTACGAGGTCGTCGACAACGCTGTTCTCAAGGTAATTGTTAAAGACGTTTTACGTCTTCTTACAAGATTGCCTCTACTTCTCTATAGACATTAATTAAGGTCTTGACGGTTGGTGGCCAAATTGATTTTGAACAACCCGGCACCCTTTATGCTTTCTTGTATCATGTATCACATTTTTTGTAAGTTTTTTTTTTTAATTAATTTTCTCAATTCGTAGCAATCACCTGAATTTTAGGTTGATCGAACGACTTTGTACGTTGGGGATGTTGATCGGTGACTAACGAAGTATACCTTTTCAGTTTTGACAGGTCTTATTAAAGTTTGCCGACGATGTCGCGTTTTGGTAACGCGCGCGTTCAGTTTCAACCCCAAACAATTTAACTTCTAGGTAAGTGAAAAAGTTGGACGATCAATTAGTTATGTTCAGAGTTTTCGTCTCCTCCGTGGTGGAGGATTTTTTTTTAAACAAGCATTGTCTAAGTTATTAATATAAATTTGAAATGTTATTAAACTAATTAATTTATCCTGTTATTTTGTTCTAAGGTACTGTTGGAATTAAAATGTCAAAGCCGTTATTATCAAGACAAGAGCGGCCAAACTTAAGCAGCTACAGCTCTGTACATTTTAATGAAGTTCGGAACTTCACCTGAGTTTGTCGAGGTGATTACTTTAACGGTACACGGGTAACATCTTTAGAATTACTTCTTTAAATTATAATATCCGGTGAATGCGTTAATAGTTTTCCTAGAAACTTTTGCACCACGAGACGCCTGTCAAAGTTTTTCTATTAACAAGTTTATTATTATTAATTAGCTTTATATACAACAAAAACTAAAAAATGAATTGTACTCGAAGGATTATATAAATAATAATTCCCATATCAATATATTATTAGGTAATCCCAAAGTCACAGACAATACCAAAATTAACATTCATTTCGAATCAAAATTATTATTGGTACGCAAGCGACCGAATTCATTCATTACGAAAGAAGGACTTCCTGTTGTTTAAAACTAAACAGTTGACCGTTACGCACCCGTTATTACCATGGAATAAATGCAAATTTATGTTTCCTGCCTTGTCGGGAAAGAGACCTATCACCAGAGCTTGTTTCCGAATTTCATGGCACTAGAAAAACGTGATAAATAGAGATAGATGTAAAATGGGGACGGGCCGCGGGGGAAAATTAACTCGAAACGACTGCAACAACGACAAATAACGACGCATTTCGTTTTTGTGTATGAGCACGTACAAAAATTATTTGATAAATCGCTTTAAACTTTTTAGATATTGTAGCATACAAAATTTACATGCTGTACTACAAATGTATTTGTAAAAGACGTACATCCCTTAGGCAAGATGAGTCTGCTTAAATACGAGGTCTATTCAAATGAGCTTTGATGATACGAAACGCTTTAGGCAACTCGTTAAGTATGGAGATTTAAATTTTGTTTTAAAAAGTTATTTAGGTCACGTATATATAAATTCTTTTTTAAGTTATTTACATTGTTGTGATTTATCCACATATAAATAATTATATGACTTTGATGCAAGATTGTGAATTTAAATTAGAACAAATATTAAAGTTTTCAAAGAGATACATACATCAATAACTTCGACAAAGACAAACTCACACGTTTCATTTGATCTTCTGCAAGCAGTATCTAGTCTTTTGCAAGTAGCTAGTCTTCTGTTAATAGCATCTAGTCTATCTATTCTGCCAGCAGTAGGTATTCTTCTGCTAGCAGTATCTAGTTATCTGCCACCAATATCTAATCGTCTATAAGCAGTAAGTCTTCTGGTACCGATATCTAATTTTTTACCATCTCAAATGATACCTATAATACGTACCACAAACCTCAAATACCTTTCTATGACCACTTGTACTTGCTTATGTATATATTTTCTGGCAGTTATATATGCTTAGTTAATCATTTAACTTTTTTAATAATAAAATAAATTGTTATATTATAATTGTTATTCCCGGCGCCTCCACCAAAAATAATCCTATCTTTAAAGATTCAAGTTTAACAAGAATGCAAATGGTCTATTTTGGGATCGTGTAAGTTCAATAAACGTCTTTTCAACGGTTACCCTAGCAGTTGTCTCGATTATTTCGAATCGTTCGGGTTGAAATGGAAGCTTGGGACCTATGGACGTTGGTCGCGTAATAAAATTAAAGACGCAGCGGTGTGCAAACCCCTCGAGGATACAACGGAACTGTCCGAGAATCTTAATGAGCAATTAGACTAAATTGTCCCTTTACCCCGAGGTCGATAGCTCCGTTGTGAGTACTTAAGGGGAAGTTCCCCACAGTTTGAGGAGACGATTCCCCGCAACAGATACCTACATACTCAACCCAGAGGGATTTTGTCTTGGATTTTTAAAAATTCTCGGATTTAAATTCGACCACTATAAATTAAGCGTAACCGAAATGTATGCATTTTTCGAATAGCTATAAATCAGGACGACGCATTTAACATCCAGAAAACCTGGGTTCCGGTATTTCGAGAGAGAATGCGTTTGCAAATCATAACGTATTCGTTCGTTCGAAATAGAGAGGGAGATGGGTTCAATCTTGCGTGAAAGATAAATTTGCGGATCTTTCCGCTGTCATATTTCACATATCTAGGACCGGCACCGAGAGACAAATTTAATCAATGGTCTTAATTCTTCGAACGGAGTTTTGAATTTT